TCCTTTCTCTTCCATACCGAGCCGGCGAGGTACCTATTTACTTACTTACCTGAGTTGCTTATGTAACATAGTTGGCTCAATCTGATTCCATTCCATTGAAATTGTCGAACAAAGTAAATATGAGAATATCCCTATCATATAACCAGCATATAACCTGTACATGTGACATATAGCGCAAACCTAAAGCTTTTTGGGGACCCTATCTCCTCATTTCGACCACTATGCAGCGGAAATTGACCTCACCTGGCAGGGCGAGTAATTGGCATTTCCTGATGAAACTTATGCATGGGTTCCTTCAGTAGTAAAAAGGGCTGTTGACAATGGGCTATTGGGAGAGTGGGAGGGAAGTAGACGATGCCACACTAGTCTGTGTGAGGAAAATATGGTTAATCATTAGTTAACTAGAAGAAGTAGGGGGCGCACAGCGGAGCTATTTCTCATCTGGGCAGCCACCAATCGCCGATATATATATACAAGGTATGTCTTATAATTTGCGGCCGTTCGACCGGCGTTCCGAAGGCGAAGGGACAGCTCATTGGCCTCTATTTCGCAGGCCCGAATTTGAGCAGAGAGGCCTTCCGTCTTGGCATTCATTTTATCCATCTTGGCTCCTAAGTGTGTTTCGAAGGCTTCTGCCTTTAGCCTTTTGATATTGTACACCTCAAGGTCGTTCTCTAATTCCTCAATGAGGTAGTTGAGCTCGGCATGCGTCAGGTGCGGGTCGATGTCAACCGAGTCCATAGAATTGTGGGTTGAGACAGAGGAGATCAATGAAGGACTACGGCGAAGGCGTGATGGAGATGGAGGAAGATGTTCGACATCTACAGACGTTGCCTCCGCTTGGGTGGCAGGAGAGATTTCTGTGGGAGTGGTTGGTTTACCGAATTTACTTTCGCATCTTATATCTAGGAGAAACTCACTCTGTAGGCCATTGCGCCTGTGGAAACCCAGCTTGGATGCAAAGGCCGCAATGGAGCGCATGATGGAAGCAGGCCACGAAAGCTGAAACGTGGCCAAGGCTGGGAGTACATAGCATGATGTGATTGATTGGTCAGACTTTTACGTCGCGAGCAATCATTAAGTACTCGTAAGGAATGAAAAACAAACCAGTTTTCATTAAGAGAGAATCGAACGCGGGGAAATAAAACAAAATCACGCACTCTTATATTCACAATGTGAGTGCAAAGATGATCAAACAAGCAGCGTCTCATTCTATGCTCTGCAGCTTATTCGGTCAAGATTGGCCCTGAATGATCCAGGACAAATACGAACGCTCTTCCAGTCTGGCCATGCTTCGTGACCTCGTATAATGGGCAAATGTTTTGGGAATCGTTACCGCTCACAGTCAAGGTTGAAATCTTCTATATGTGCCTACTATGCCATCTTACTATTTGCGGCTTCGACAGCATCCCACATCACATCGCATGTCCATCGTGCCCCCATCTCATTCTAAGTACCTTTATAACGCATCATTTGAGGATACTTCGGATACCGCAATGTAATATCTTGCGCCCGAGACGCCGAGGCCCCCAACGCATGCCGATCATGTTTACCGAGACACAGGCCTTGTCCAACCGTTGTCTCCCTCGTGTGTCACTGGAATCCGCCGCCTTGAGATCGGGATTCAAAGCCTCTTTAATTGCCAGGCACGCACCAGTTCATCTTTGGAAGATCTCAAGATCGTATTCATGGATGATATGTCTCTCTTAACCTCTCGATCAAATCAACTCACAAAGTTCCAGATGTCTCGGGCACCCTCAACCTCGAGAATCTCCAAACCCTCCGCCGCATCTCTTTTTAAGGATACCAAGTCAAAGAGGGTGCGCCCGTCGACGGAGTGCATAATTTGAAATCGTCCCCCGAGATTAACGTCCTCAGCCAATTGTTTTTTCCATTCGAGGGAGTGGATTCGCGAGGAGAACACCCAAATGGAGTCGTCTCTATGCTCTGCCGATAGACAAAGAGCGTTTTGTGCAAGTATTCACCGTCGTCACCTCCAAAGCAGGACAACAGATCTTGATACCGAAGTATCGACGTCTTTTCCCTTTAGACCATGCCGAAGTTGTACAACGATGGACGACTGTTGGTGGAAGTGTATAAGGAGGAGCGGCCATTGGAGAGGGTGAACCCCCTTTTCGTTCACCATTCGCATTAAATTGGTGTTTCCAGCGATCCCGTGACCGGTGAACCACTTCCCCCTCGAACGACATGAATATTCATGCACCGATAGAACAGATCTCGATATCTGAATCCTCTGTACAGCCACTTTGCTTCTGCTAAGAAGGCTGCCTGCGGGATGAGAATGAAAGACATATTTACATTGTCCTCGCAACTTCGAGCCAATTCCTCTGAGTTTTCTTCATGTCTACCAAGAGCCCCGATTTTTGGCTTCGAGATGGCTCCATTGTTCTTTCAGTCGAGAAAACCCTCTTCCGCGTTCACCAAACCATTCTAGCCAACCACTCTGAAATATTCTCCGACATATTCAGCCTCCCGCAGCCGCCTCATGAACCGGGCAGCAAGGACTCGACCAGAATCGAAGGTTGTCTGATCGTTGAATTGCAGGATAAGGCGAAGGATGTTCTGGATCTCCTCAAAGCAATATATCATCCTTCGTACGTGCCACAATTTGTCGTGAACTTCTGATATGTTAATTTATGTCTCACACCAAATAGGCACTTTGAGAAACTCTCAATAACTGCCGACCTCGATACTGTTTTGAATTTTATTGGTGGTATTCTGCGTCTCAGTACGAAATATGTGATCCACGAGTTGCGACGGCGGTGTATATCTATACTGACAGCACGGTTCCCCTCTTCTTACGAGGATTACCTGGCGTCCGGTCAGCGTCATTATATTCCGTCCATCTCCGCCGTTCAAGACGACAGTGTCTTGGATTGGTCTAATATTACAACATTTTCACTCGTTTCGTCGACTTCCCCGCCGACGAATGGCTCTACAACAACGTTGTATCATATTCAACCTCAACCCTCAACCTCTCAATACGGTACTTCGTTCGCCACCCATCAATCCCGCTCTCGTCGACACTCCGACTATATCCATCACCGTGACCGTGACCACCTCAGATCCTTCAAGGACGAACATCGGCCCAAGCCGAAACTCTCCTCCATCATGCGCGCCATTACACTGGCCAACGAAACGAACGTCTTGACCATTCTTCCATATGCGTACTACCTCCTCGCGCGCACCTCGGAGCCACATCGTCTGCTTGTCAACTCCTCTGGTTCGCTTTCCTGGTATCAGAAGGCTATCGCCCTCGTCGGGCGCTCGCATCTCGAGACCGCTGAGATAACCCGTTCGCATTCATTCCTGGCCTCGTTTGCGCCCGCCCCTACATGCATGTTGCCGAGCACATGCTCGGGTGTTCGGGGGCCTCTGCTGGAGTGGGCGTTACTTTGCACCAAGGGCCGTGCAGGTCCAGAACCGCTCAGGCTATGGGATCGTTGGGAACGACTCGGTCTGTGCCCTGTTTGTGTAAAGCATGCGATGATGCGACACGAGCGCGGGCGGAAAGAAGTGTGGGAGATGCTACCGAGTTACTTTGAGTTGGGGACGTGGAGCGAGCTGAAGGAACGGCAGGAAGTATGAGTATTGAGCTGTTCGTGGAGGAGCTACTATACAATGTTGTTGGTAAACTTGGTTGTATTTTAGTGCAACCTAGTATTGAGAATTTCAGGCGTTTCTAGAAAGGGAGGGCAGTAACCATGGGTTGGGGAAAAAGCTGTCATGGTTGAACACTGGGACTTCAAAATGGCGTCGTGTTTCTCTGCCAACACCCCGTGAAGCGCTAATAGTAAATGCGCTAAAATAACTTACTTGGTAGATAGATAGTGTACATAGATAGGGGGGGGTGCTAATTCATTCAGCCGCCACGAAAAACTTAGACAACTACTAATATTCCACATGCCTCCAGTAGCCGATAGAACTTCTTGAGAGAGGCTTCATCCTCATTTGAAATTGATCATTCTTTCTTTCAGAAGTATTATTTCAAGTAGAAGGCGATTAATGGCGGGTGCCTTTCACCGGAAACTATTAAGCATCCAACCCATCCGATGCGCCACATTGTCCGTTTATGCTTAGTTGCATGTGTCTTCAACCCCTTGAGCTACTTCACACCGAATGGCCCCTCCGTAGCACCGACTGTCAGAATTGTACGATGCGTCGACCCACGTATGGTTTGCAATTCCCTGCTATCTAGACTCTATAATAATTGACTCTACTAGCGCTCAACTTTCCTCGCTTCCTTTGGTCTTTCGTCGAAAGGGAGATGCTGTTGGTACAATCGGATACTTAGAGACATATATGTCAGCTCATCGCCAATGACAAGAAACATAAACTGCCTTATATTTTCTGGGTGACTCTGTCCAAGGTGTTCCCTCATTGCCACCATTATGATAGGAGGAGAGGTTGTCTCGACAGTCTGAATCCGCCTTATATTATCCCATGATCAAATTTTACTATGGGTCAATTGTATTGGTTTCCATGTATCTATCTGGAGCGCTCTGGGGCTACATGAACAGGTCTCTATAAATCTGTAAGTTTCTTGAATTTGATCCTTCTGTAACGGGATTGGTGGAAGATGTTTTTCCCGCCAACGTTGTAAAGCTTATTCCATCACTGTGCAAGTACCTTATAAACATGCATTAATGGGGTAGTGGTAACCTGGGTCGTTGCCATTAGTTGTCTTGATCCCAATATTCGTTTCGACCCGCCGGGAGTTCGATTCTCTCTTAATGCATACAACAGTCGCCTCTTTTTCTCTGGTTATGCTGTCCCCCAAGTACTTGACGCCGTCTATCATGTCCTTGGTTCTACCGCAGAGGGGAAAGCTTGGGACTTAGGGTTCCTAAACGTCGAGTAATAAGTTTGATTTGCTGCAAATGAACTGCTCTAATAGTAGAACATATTTCGTAGGGGCATCTCACTCTGAAATATCATGGTAGCGAATCCCAATCCTTTGATCACCAGTATCCTTAGGCGTTTTATGTCTGAATTTGTGCATTCAGGTTGAATCAGTATTTCGCTAAGGCTTGGGATCTTCTAGGTGTCTGAGGAAGGATTTTTAGTAATAAGTACAGCGCTAGCGCTATCAAAGCAGGGTTGCATGAAGAAAGATGTGCTCAAGCACGCGCGAGATATATCGACTCAGGTTTCCTGTCCACAACACGCCACGCCGTGCGTGTTGGCGTCACGGGCGCATCTGGGTTGTTCAGCGAGAGTGAGCCTTCAGACATGGACCGTATTGGGCGCCGTCGCCCTCCCGATGGTGACCCTACGCCTACCGTTGGTGAGGCTGGCGCGATGGTAGGACTGGAAGGCACTGATCCTGCCTTCTCCGGGGCGGATGTCGGAGCAGCGGGAGAGGAAGCATTGATTGACGGTGTCCGACTTCTTGGGCCGAAGAGCCCCATCTCGACCTTGGGAGCAGCCTCGTTTTCGGGTATTGGTGGTACAGACGGGAGGGGCAGCCATAAAGATTGTGTAGATTGTTTGCGACACATTGATGGTGGCCTTGGTCTGTAATTCGGATATAAAATGTTAGAGAGTTGCTAATATTGACATTTTGAGGGCTGGACGCACGAGGGAGGACCTTCATTGAATAGCGGGTCCTGCATTTTTGATAGCATGATATCGTGGATATCTCTTGAAGCGAAAGCACCCAAGTAAGTGGTTTTGGACAACCTTAATGAACAAAGGATCGGGAATATCGATACACACCGAAAGAGACCCTCGCGTTCTGTTCTCAGATTCTTGATCTCAGCCGATAATCCCTGTATTTCCTTCTGAAGACTCGCTGCGAGCTCAGACATGGCTACATCAGGCGAATCGGTGGCCTCCGAAATCCTAAATCGTGGCAGTACAGCACAGCACTCAGAAGATGACTCTAAGGGATTGAGCGCCCAGCAATATGACTCACGGAGATTCTACGGTCTTCTTAGATTTCTTAAACCATTTTCGGGGGTGAGGGATCATGAAGATGCTTCGAGAATGAAGATTGTGGGGCTATGTATATGTCTGCGTCGTCGATAGCTCGTGGGGTAATCGCTCAGGAGGACCAGATCGAGATGATCAAACATGTGGTAGGCGTGTGTCGAGACACGTTGGGCGTCAAAATGCCGGTCTCTCGGACCGTATGCAGCACGAGGAGGTTTGTGCTCCGGTAACCCCTATGATACCCAAACGGATCAAGCACTCATATAAAGTGGTAAAATAAACATGAATGGGACTACTCGTGTCGAGAACATCTTAATCGTTCATAGCATTTCCACATCAATGCCACTCTCAAAGCGCTGTTTGGTGTCAGTGTCATAAAAATTAGGAGGCCGCGTTGGCTTACCTTCCGTTTGGTCGGAGAATAATCCTCATACTCGTCCATCGAGTCGAGATGTCTCTTCATGACTCGAAGAGGATTCTGAGGTGGCTCGTCGATGTCAACCTCCATTGCCTCTTGCGATGAATGATGTGTCTGCCGTAGTGATGACGTGTGCATCTGTGTGATGGACATGTCGCGCTCGCGTGCAAGAACACGATGTTGAGCATCCCACACCACATCTCGGAGCATGTCTTCAGGGACGTACATTAGCCTCCTCGGCGCACCCTTGAAAGTTGACATTGTATATCGCAGCTTCATTGTTTGCCAAGAGATTGGCTGCCAGACACGATACACGCTGCGAAGGTGGTACGCGAAATTGTAGGCTTCCCATTCCCTGTTTGATCGCCCGTTGAATCGTTGGTTTCCGAGGCCGTCGTGAGGAAGAGGCAGCTCGCCTTTATTGCGTGTATTTACGGGGCCTATTTCACATATGAAGCCAATGTGGGAGAGGGGAGCGGAGATGTAGAACCAGACGCGCTTTACAGATAACGGGAGGGCGGTTTTTCTGAACTCATAGTTTTTTTGGCCCCCAAGATTCGGTCTAAGAAATAGCATTTGGCAATAAATGGCTGTAAGTCGGACGGAACATCAGTACTCACAGAAATGGTCAAGACTATGTCCGACTTGTTTGCCATATTACTGCCAGCTGGTTATTTAAATCATATCGAGGGCGGATGAGGGGGTGATGTGAGTCACCAAAGCGGTTTATGTCAAATGAGTCAAAAGGTCAATGAGAGTAAAACTTGATTTTTTGATGGTTTGATCACTGCTGAACTTGCAGCATCAAACAATTCAGCCAGGAAGACATTATTAACCTTGGAACTTGCCGAGCTTCATAAAGGTCAGTATCCTATATGTCTAATTTGGGAATGTTAAGAGTTTGCGCACTATAAATAATAAATAATCTAAAGGTATACAGTCTTAAAAATTGTTTCGGGGGTAGCGTTCAGTGGTTTGATCGATCTGAAACGCCCTTCCGGCAAAAGAACGATTTGGAACGATGTGCCTCTCCAGGGGGTAAATAACTAAGTGATGGGGTGATACCAACTTGAACCCTTTAACCGACCAACTTCCGTTAAGTCGGGCAGAAACAGCAAGTCGTGAACCCAACCGCCGTGTAGCTGATTGTAGCCGTGCTTGTGGGCTTTTGTGGATTCTCGTATTACAACGATAGTGACGAAAAACAAAGGCATCAAATTCCGTCCCTTCCGCTCGCTTAACTACTGGTCATGCAGTGCCTCGTGGAAAGCGCCTGCGATCCTCATACACACTTCCTTCAACTATGTACATTGCATCAAGGTTTGGACTCGTTTTAACTGCCCAGGAATCAAGGATGGTCTGCAGGAATACATTACATTGATTTGCCATTGATACGAAGCTCTAAGCTCTAGCTCCAGAAGAGCCTATATCGTTCACACGGAGAGACATCGCTTTGGTCTTGTTCTGAATGCGGTTTTCGGCTCTCCATCAACCCTTACTTCCAATCTAGTTCGTAACTGGGGAATTCTTATATAAGGTCCTTTCGTGAGGTCTCTGCTTGGGGCACCTCAAGCAAAATGGACTCGTTTGACATGCTGATGCTCCAACTATACGGCCAAGAGTTTCTCATCGATTTTCAAGCCATCGTCCTCTACACATTCCTTTATGGTCCGTGAATATTCCAGCCTAGCAGATAGCTCTCGCTGATTTTTTCCAGGTGTTTTCACTGCCCTTTTCTACGCTTCGACATGTATGCTTGTGTACGGCATTTTCCTCCCCAGCTGATTTCCCATTCTGATTGTTCTTCCTTGGCAGAAAGCGCCGTCTAAAATCTACGCCGACTCTTTTAATGTTCTGCGCAACTCTCGCCAGTTACATATTCTATTCAATTGACTGGGCTGTTCACGTGGCGGCTTTGATTGAAGGATTCCGGTATAATCTTATAGACCTCAATGCGGCGACATTTAATAGTCAATATGCTGCCGACGAAAACCGCATTGAATATCGTTTCGATCTTTTGGAGACAATATTCGAGCAAGCAATGGTACGTTCCCAAAGTTGATGATTGCAAATTAAAACTTACGCAATACTCCGCCTCAAGCTCTTACTGAGCGACGCCATCGTAATCTGGCGTGCTTGGGCTCTCTATTCTGATTTCAAATGGGCTACAATTTTTCTTTGTATTCTTTTACTTGGTTCTGTTGGTGAGCGTTAACCGGAGACTTTTGCTAGTCTGACTCAGACTAAATCTTGCCATTCTCGAAGCGACTGGATTTTCTTCCGTTGCTTCGATTTTTGCGAGCTTGGTGAAGTACATCGTCAGCATAGAACTGCCGCACTTTGCTGGAAATTCTCTATACATAGCTTCGCGATCTCTGTCGATCGCCGCAAATGCTGGGGCTACGCTCTTGATCTTCTATCAGTTATGGTGAACTTTTGACTTACAAGGAAATATAATGCACGAACTCAAAGTGATTCTCATCCTTTCAGGATGCATCAAAAATTTCGCCGACAACTTGGCCTAGAAAAATCAAGAGTAACCAAGATTCTCTTCATACTCGTCGAATCAGGAGTTGTATTCCTAGCACTGCAGGTATGCCAAGAATGCCATACTACGTATGATGATGATCTGATGGACGACAGTTGACAACCCTCGTATTGTATCATATAAACTTCATAACCCGAGATAACAACAACGCGTCTCCGTTCGTGTTGCAAGCCTTCCTTTGCATCATCAAAGCTTTTATTGTTCGTAAATTGTTCTCCATTCTGTTTGCAAATCTGACCCTTGCTCAGGCGGCCTATCCCTCGGCGGTCATCTATCTTGCAGGTCAAGAGCGCGAGACTGACGTGACACCGGAGATCTATACTTCAACAAGAGATCCGGAGTTCGCCTTATCTTTAAAGACTACTTTAGATATCTCCTTAAATCACCTCACCGAGTCGTCCTCATAACACAACCAATATTCAATGAGCCAGAGCGCTTTACTGTCTTTGTCGGAGAACGAAGTATTTTACATATCTACATAATACATTGTGGAGAAACGAAGCTAATATTCAGTCAAATGATATTCATTATCCATTCGTAAAGAGTCCATATGAAGAGTCCTAAAAGTTGAGGCTGTCAAGAAGTAAAAATCCCTTATTCCTCCACTGAACCCGTAATAGTAAAGGTCGGCGAGAAGTTTCCGGAATCACCGAACACTTGACATGCAGTCAGTAATGCGAGGTATGGTCTGATACTAAAAGGTACTCACAAACAAGTTGGTAATCATCGCCATCGATTACCCACGGAACCTCAATCTCGATCCTACCCAAAAGAATAGAGAAACCTGAAGCCAAAATAACTATGGCAGAAGGAAATCAGAAGCTGCGGTAAAGCGTGA